GTTTTTAGTTTTAAAAAAATGTAAATATCTGGATGAATGACTTATGAATCTGGATGAATGACCAATGTATCATTTTGGTGTACAGAATTCAAAATTCAAACACACTTGAATTTTCTACCATATACCTATTAGGCAACTTTGAGAATTTCAATTACAGTACATGTAAAGTGTTGAAGATAATCAGAGAAAGACAGCCCTGGGAACAGACTACAGAAGTAAAATGAAAGGCAGAGGAATATATATATTTTTTCAATAAAGCTTTGGGAGAGATAAAGAAAGCAAGGAGAAAGTAAAACTGACCCTCAGAAGTATCATCAGTGACATGGGTGAGAGAAGGGCTAATGCTGAAGGGGATAGAGGGGAGGAAGACACAATGCGGAGTCACAACGTCAAAAAGGCATCACACATTTTCACGGACAACGGAAGGCCAACAAATGACTTTGCATAAAGAGTATATGCCATACAATAAAATAAATATGTCAGTATCTTGTTTGAACTGTAGGTGCAAGCCATCTAGAAAAGTTTCTGATGAGCAAAGGAATGAATGACTCAATTAAATTAGAATCTCTACTTATTATCTTCGAAGGTGTCAGGGTCACAAAAGTCAAGGAAAATCTGAGGAACTGCTCTAGATTGTAAGAAAGTAAGAGGAAAACTAAATGCAATGCATGATTCTGACCTGAACCCTTTTGCTACTAAAGATCCATTGGTTATTGACTGGCAAAACTTGAATGGAGTTTGAAGATTCGATAGTGGTAATGTATCAACATTAATTTCCTAATTTAGATGCTTGTGATGTGGTTATGTAGGAAAATGTCCCTGTATGTTAAAAATACACACTAAAGTACTCAGAAAAACGGGACATTATGTTGGCAACTTAATCCCAGACATTTTTTTAAAAAAAGTTTTGTATACTAAGCTTGAAATTACTTTTTTAAAAAAATTAGGATCTTTAAAGGTGGGTCTGGACATCAGTATTTTAAAAACTGTTCAGGTGATTCTAACATGCAACCAAGGCTAGAAACCACTGCTACAGAGTCTTCATTTATCAACCTTAAAGAAAAAAGGTTACATACTTTTGTACTGAGTACATGAACTACAATTTATTTAACCAAACTCTTCTGTCTTTTCCTTCAAAAATGACTTATTAAAGTTTTTATAGGCCAGGCAAGACAGAATCTCTTCCCTATGAGCACTAAGTCTCATGGGGAAATATCTACAAGCAAACAAAATGTGCTGTAATAATAATAATAATATAATTGTTATCATTTGTTCAGCAATTACTGTGTGCTAGACACTATGCCACCTGAAAGGTCAGGCACTGCTATCATCTTCCTTTTACAGAATGAGGAATCCTAGGCACAATGAAATAAGTAACTCACCCTGGAGTACAGATCTATGTTGACTCTTGACTACACTACTGTATTAGAGGAAAGCAAAGCCTTATGAAAACACACAGATGAGCCTCCGATGCAGACTACGGGTGTCATGGAAGCCTAATCAGAGGAAAGAACATCAGATATATCTTTAGACATGCACCCTATCTCCAATTTTAATTACCACAAATATTTCTTAAGTGAACATCTGTGCAGAAAACTTTCCATTTAGTAGTCCTGCTTCTATTCCTACTCCTTTGGTGAGATTCTAAGAAGCAGAATTCTGGGACAACGTGTATGGAAAAACCCCATGGCTTTCAATACCTGCTGCCACATAGCTGTCACCAGCAATACGAGGGTATCTATTTTACTGTAACCTTACCAGAAGTGGGCACTGATACTTTAAAAATTCTTTTCCATTAGTGGAAAACGAGTATTTCTTTATTACAAGTTAAGCTAAACATTTTTTCCACTAATGCTTTCTCTAAAGCACAAATTTAAGATCTTCATAATTACTACCAATAGAGTCTCAGTGCATGTTACCAGCAAAATAACATCTTAGAATGTCTCATACTATACAGATGCTGTCATTTTTCCCTATAACCACAAAAGTGGCTGTGTCACAACAGCAGCATGTAATGAAATCATATTTCAATATTCATGCTAAGATCCTTGACCTCTAAAACCTTGTGAGCTCATTGAGGACAGAGGAAATATCTTGCTTGATTTTGAAATCCTATCACAATGTTAGCAAGTAAAACACACTCTATAACTGTTTGCTGTTAAGAGTAAGTAAATAAAATCATGGATGGTGACAAAATATAAATGGAAACCATACTTTCTGACCTCTACACATATGACACAAAAAACCCAGGTCAGTAAACATCACATGAGAAAAAGGAGAAGTAGGTTGCTCCCTTTTTTCCCTTCTTGCCATATAATTAGGGAACCCATGACACCAGTGTGCTGATGACAGTTCTTGTTTATACCTTTTGGCCTAACATCCTGGCTGCTTAATTCTAGATTGGGCGATACATTTCATGGTCACTCTACGTCTAAAGGATGTTCCTTTAATGAACAGTAGATCTAAGTACAAAGTGCTTCCCTGATCAGAGAGCTTGTCTTTGTGTCACTTTAAATTTCACTTTAAAAACCTATGAGCAGATAGCTCTTTGGGCCTCATAGTGTTTTGTTTTGTTTTAATAAAATTTTACCATTTAAAGCTAAGTGATAATCTGCAAATAGTTAATCCCTAACTAACAGAACATCCCTTGATAGGATCAGCACTCTTAATTCTATTTTATTGATAAGAGAAGGGAGGCATGGAAAGTGACTTATTCCAGGGCACATCAAGTATGAATCATCAGCAAGGTGAAAGGAGGCTGTTGGAGCTCTAACTTCCGTTTTTGATTAACTCTCTGAACCACACAGGCATTAATTTGCAATTAAATTTCCTGTGCAGTTTGGTTAGAAAGATTTTAATCATTTAGAAAATGGCTCTGTAAACTGCAGCCAGTAATAATCTATTTCAAATTGTATGAGCAAAATCACAAGCATACCTTCAGTAATATTTTTTAATGGGCATAAAATTCACGGTTAATAATTTTTCAATTTCCCTGAACAACAGTCTGAATTCAAGCCTCACCTATAGGTCCTAAGTTATCAGAAGGTAAAGGGAATATTTATAAAATAGGTTAAAGTATAAAGTAAATATTTAATCCTTTGTGTAATAAAAATAAAATTTGTTACAGTTTTATGTTTCAGAAGTATGCATGTCTACATTTCATACTACGGTGCAGTTTGGATAAGATTTTAGCAGATTAACATCTTGGATTATGACAGAAAATCTTAATGGAGGTAGCAAAGTCACTCTTTATAGCAACTAAAACAAAAACTCATAGAAATAAATTTAATAGGCTATATGTCTAAGACCCATATAAAAAAAGAGGCATAAAAGAAGAGGCATACCACATACACAGCTGGAGAACTATTATTATACTTATGTCACACCCACATTAATTTATAAACATACTGTAATGTCAGTCAAGGTTCCATTGGCATCTTGTGGGGGTGGGTTAAAGCAGGGGTCCCCAACCCCTGGCCCACGGACCGGTACCTGTCCGAGGCCTGTGAACCGGGCCGCACAGCAGGAGGTGAGCGGCGGTCAAGCCTGCAAAGCTTCATCTGCCGCTCCGCATCACTACTCATAGCTCGCATTACCGCCTGAACCATTGCCCCCCATCACTCGGCCTACAGCCTGAACCATCCTCCCCCTCCCCCCACAGTCCATTGGAAAACTGTCTTCCACTAAACCGGTCCCTGGTGCCAAAAAGGCTGGGGACCGCTACGTTAAAGAACTTGGTAAACTCATGTAAAGTTCATTTGGAGGAATAAATTTAAGAGAATAACCAAGAAAACTTTTTAAAAGTATAAAGTGCAATAATAAAAATAGTATTTTGCTGGCACAGACCAATAGAATAAAATTGAAAGTTCGAAACAGGCACAGGTGTATATAAGTATTCAATAAATGAGAAATAACAATGAAAGAATAAAAGGATTTAATAAGCGATGTTGTGACAGCTGACTAGACCCATACCTCACACCATTCAGCAAATTAATTCCAGGCTTTCCAGGCTAGTTGAATATTTCAGTGCAAGACAATGAAACGAAATATTGGGAAAGGCTTTAAAAAAAAAAAAAAAAAAAAAAAAACAAACGACTGATAGATTTGATATAAAACATATTACTCACTAAAATAAATATGTATTAAGGATATCAATCATTTTTCTGTCATTCATGCTTTAATCACTTAAAGTTATCAGCTGTCTTTTAATTTCATTTAGCTCCTCCTGACACAAAACTATAAGAAGTTAAACTATAAGAAGTTAAAAATACCAATCTTTTCTTTAAGGCCTCCTTCCCTTGGCTGTGAAGTGACTTTCTTAATTCCAAACCACACCAATTTTTCACTTATATCTTCTTATAATTCTTTTCATTGTTTCTTATGTTATGTTAATTACACAGACGAGAAATCAAAATATGGCCTCGTCCTCTATTAACTGTTTGATTTGAGGATGTTACGTAACCTCTCTGAGTCTCAATTTCATTTTTCTGATAAAACAGACATGATAATGCCAACCTATCAGAGTTGCTGTGGAGATTAAAAAAATAATTTATACAAAGCATTTATCATAATTATTACAGAACCTGGTATACAAAAAGTCAAAACAGTCTGTTTTTCTAAGTTAAAATGGTAGCTATTACTTTTAATGCTATCACATTGCACAATTTCATTGATAAATCATGACTAGAAACCTAAGGTAATGGTGTTTTTACCTGATTTTTAAATAAATTTCACGTTATTTAATCAATGCTATAGCTTTTTACTTTTTAAGTTTTTAAACCATACTATATGCCAATCAGAAAAATACCTTAGTTCTTTGAAGACTACCCCATTACTACAGCATCCTACAATTTGGTCTTTTAAAGTTGCAGTCTGAAGTTATCCGATGGCCAAAGAACCTTGTAATCCAAGAGTATTAAAAGGTTCCTTACACACTAGACCTGCTGAGATTATTTATGAGTTTGAAATATAAATAGGATGCTTACCCTTCTTCATCTTACCTCTAATAGGCCATCCTCTGGTAGATCAGTGCAGTGGACAGCATTCTGGATCTTAGTTTTACCAAAGATTGCTCGGAGGGTTCCAGGGCGTAAATGCCGGGCAATTTCCTATTAAATAAATACACATTCACATATAGATTAAAGTCAGCCATGTAGTGTCAATTTAAAAAAAACACCAGCTGTACGAAATACATTCATTAATTATTCATTACATGTACATGTATACATTGTTGGTAATGATTTTTCCTGGAAACAGGATGAATGCATGAAAACTGAGCAATGAAAATTCTCAGTTCACTCATAAAGCTTTTTCTCTGGCCCAATGTAAAGTCCACTGTAATCTATGTCGAGGGCAATAATAATTATATCTCTTTTTATCAACAGATTATGGGAATCACATAAATATGAACCCAGCTCATTATTGTGAAAGACTTGTATTTTATAAAGACAATAGCGATCCTAACAATTTAACTTAAAATGAACTAGTTTGATGGCACTGATTGCAAAAGACTTTTTAAAATGTTACAGTTGTATCAGTTTAGTGCTATCTCACATTTAAGGGAAAAAAATGGTTACAAATAACTCATAAAATTTTGGGTAAAAGAAACAAGAAGTTAAAAAAAATTGAAGATGTGGGCTTCCCTGGTGGCGCAGTGGTTGAGAGTCCACCTGCCGATGCAGGGGACACGGGTTCGTGCCCCGGTCCAGGAAGATCCCACATGCCGCGGAGCGGCTGGGCCCGTGAGCCATGGCCGCTGAGCCTGCGCGTCCGGAGCCTGTGCTCCGCAACGGGAGAGGCCAAAACAGTGAAAGGCCCGAGTACAGCAAAATAAAAAAAAAAAAAAAATTGAAGATGTGGGAGTATCAATGACCTACTTAATAGTCTGTTTTTCTAAGTTAAAATTTTTCTAAAATCCTATTTTGATTTTGAAATATACATACAAAAAAGGCATTTACTACACATATTTTAAAATTATAATGAAACAAATACCCGTGTGCCCACTATTAAGCTGAATTAAAATAATATTACAATAACTTTCAAGGTCCCGGTGTGCTCCATCTTCATTCCATCCCATCCCTATCTCCACCCAGAGGTTACCATTAATATCAATTTTACTTAAATATTCCCTTGTTTTACTTAGTTTTCAAGGCATTGTTTTTCATATTTGTCCATGTAAATATGTGTAACTGTAATTCATTTGTTTTTATTACCATATATATTCCAATGTATGATAGAGCATACTTTATCCATTTTCCTGATGATTGACATTCAATTAATTTCTTCTCTCTCTCTCCCCACCTCTCTGTCCTCCCACCTCTCTCTCCTCACACACGCTCACGCTCACACTCACACACACACACACACACACACGATCACAAACAATTCTGCTACAAGCATTCCTGTACATGGTGCACATGTGCAAGAGTTCTTCTGGAATCTTGGGGGCACATACATATTCAGTTTTGCTAAGTACTATCAGACTATTTTCTTAAATGGCTGTCACAATTTGCCCTCGGCCATCAATGCACAAGAATTCCCACTATCCATACCAAAGCCAGCATTTGATAGTGGCTGACTTTTTACTTTTGCCATTAGGCAAGCGTGAAATGGTATCTCATTGTGTTAGTACGAATTTCCTTGATAACTAAAGAAATTGAGTGTCTTTTCATATATATCCTTTTCTGTAAAATGCCTATTCTTGACTTTTTTCCATTTTTCTATTGGGTTATTCTTTTTCCTTTTGTTATTCTTAATACCTTCTGAATTCTAATTTTCTGTCAGTTATATATGATGCAAATATCTTTTCCCAATATGTAGCTTGTCTTTGAGTTTTATGTTTTCTGATGACCAGAAATACTAAAATTTAATGAAATTAAATTTATCAATTTACGATTTGTGCTTTTTGTTTCTTAAGGAATTATTCCCTACTCCGAGTGCATAATGATACTCATCTCTATTGTCTTCTAAAATCTTCAAAGTTTTGCCTTCCACATTAAGTTCTTGATCCATCTAGAACTGACTTTGGCTATCATGTGAGGAAGATGTCCATTTTCATTTTTCCCATATGGATATTTAATTGCCCTAGCACCATTTTTTGAGTTATTTCTCTCTTTCCCCTGCAATCTCCAATGAGATTGATAGCTCTGTTATATGAAAGGTTTCCCTGGATGTATGGGTCTGTTTCTTGGTTTACTATTTGATTCCATTGGACTTTTTGTCTATTTTTACATCTATGCTGTCTTAATTATTATAACTTTATAATAAGTCTTCACCTGGTAAGGCAAGTCCCCCAGATTTTGGTTTTGAATGCATTAAGTTTGGGTTCCCTATTAGACATCCAAGTGAAGGTGTCAAATACATGATCGGCTGAGTCTAGAGTTCAGAGGAGTGTTCCACACTGCAAATAACAATTTGGGGGTCAATAGCATATATATGGTATGTAAAGGTTAGATGAGATCATGAAGGCAGTGAGTATAAACAAAGGAGAGGAAGCACAGGGACACCTTGACTTTTTAATGACATCATGTCATTAAAAAGTCAAGGAGATGAGGAGAGATGAACAAAGAAGACTGAGAAGGAACAGCCAGCTTGGTAAGAAGAAATGCAGCAGCATCCTTTCCTAGAAGACAGTGAAGAAAAATGTCAAGGACAGAGAGTTATCAACAGTGTCAAATGTTAAGTCATATAGGGTTAGGACTTCCCTGGTGGCACAGTGGTTAGGAATCCCCCTTCCAATGCAGGGGACACAGGTTCAATCCCTGGTACGGGAAGATCCCTCATACCACAGAGCACCTAAGCCCGTGTGCTACAACTACTGAGCCTGTACTCTAGAGCCTGTGAACCACAACTACTGAGCCTGTGTGCCTAGAGCCCGTGCTCCACAACAAGAGAAGCCACAGCAATGAGACGCCCACACACCTCAACGAAGAAGAACAGCCCCCACTCGCCGCAACTAGAGAAAGCCTGCACGCAGCAAAACCCAATGTAGCCAAAAAGAAAATAAATTAAAAAAAAAAAAAGTCACAGGGTTAAAGACGAAGAACTGGCCACTAGACCACGTGGAGTCACTGATATCCTTGACGAGAGCAGTTTCTGAGGAGTGGAGAAAAGCTAAAGACTTATTATTATGGTTTCAAGAGAGAATGAGAGAGGAAGAACGGGCACAAGTGAATACAGGCAACTATGTTGAGGAATTTTACTGCAAAGGGGAGGAGAAAAATGGAGCAGTAACTGGAGAGGGAAGTAGAATCAAGAGAGGGTTTTTCATTAAATGTTGGAGAGGGTGTGGAGAAAGGGAACCCTCCTGCACTGTTGGTGGGAATGTAAATTGATATGGCCACTATGGAGAACAGTATGGAAGTTCCTTAAAAAACTAAAAATAGAACTACCATATGACCCAGGAATTCCACTACCGGGCATATATCCTGAGAAAAGCATAATTCAAAAAGAGTCACGTCCCACAATGTTCACTGCAGCTCTATTTACAATAGCCAGGACATGGAAGCAACCTAAGTGTCCATCAACAGATGAATGAATAAAGAAGATGTGGCACATATATACAATGGAATATTACTCAGCCATAAAATGGAACGAAACTGAGTTATTTGTAGTGAGGTGGATGGACCTAGAGTCTGTCATACAGAGTGAAGTAAGTCAGAAAGAGAAAAACAAATACCGTATGCTAATGCACATATATGGAATATAAAAAAATGGTACTGATGAACCTAGTGGCAGGGCAGGAAGAAAGACGCAGATGTAGAGCATGGACTTGAGGACACAGGGGAGGACAGGGAAGCTGGGACAAAGTGAGAAAGCAGCATGGACATATATACACTACCAAACGTAAAACAGATAGCTAGTGGGAAGCAGCCACATAGCACAGGGAGATCAGCTCGGTGCTTTGTGACCGCCTGCAGGGGTGGGATAGGGAGGGTGGGAGGGAGGCTCAAGAGGGAGGGGGTATGGGGATATATGTATACATATAGCTGATTCACTTTGTTGTACAACAGAAACTAACAACATTGTAAAGCAATTATATTCCAATAAAGATATTTAAAAAAAGAGAGGGTTTTCTTTTTTTGAGGGGGAGGGGATGCTGTTTTAAAGTGGGAGAAATAATAATACCTTTCCAGGCTGATAGGAATCATCCAACAAAGGGAAAAACTGATGAAACAGAAAGGAGAAGAGAGAATTGCTGGAGTGATGGAAGCAAGTGACAAAGTAGAGGAGTTGGCCTTATATCTAAGAGTGTGGAACATTCACCCTGAGCATCAAGACAGTACATGGGCCCAGTTATAGCTATGTGGGTTTATGTAGTGGCTGGAACTTATGGAAGTTCTTTCTCTATTTTTAGTTTTTATTGAGATATGACTTACATACGATAGCATGCATAGGTTTTAACTGCACCGCCCCATGAATTTAGTCAAATGTATATACTCAGCAACCACCATCTTAAACAAGATATAGAACATCTCTAAAGTTCCCTCTAGACTTTATTTTTTTGACTAATTCTATTTTCCAGTGAAAAAGTCAGCAAGATTGTCACCAGCTGAGAGGAAGGATGGGGAAGAGGTTTTGGGGATCTGAGGACAGAAAAGGAGGTACAAGACACTTTAAGAGAGGAGAAGAGTGAATGGACTAGAAAAATGAATGTGACTGCTCGGCAGCACTGAGGGCCCTCTTGAGGTTAATGATCATGAAGGTAAAGGGAGATCGTTCAGGACGCCTGAGTGTTCTCCAGTCATGGGTGCAGGCAAAGGTTAGGTAGAAGGCTGAATTTAATGAGGGTTGGGGTTTTTTTTTTTTTTTTTTTTTTTTGTGGTGTGGGGGCCTCTCACTGCTGTGGCCTCTCTCGTTGTGGAGCACAGGCTCCGGACGCGCAGGCTCAGCGGCCATGGCTCACGGGCCCAGCCCGCTCCACGGCATGTGGGATCTTCCCGGACCGGGGCACGAACCCACGTCCCCTGCATTGGCAGGGGGACTCCCAACCACTGCGCCACCAGGGAAGCCCTGAGGGTTGGGGTTTTACCAACAGAAAACAAGAAAGTAAGAGAGGGGTAAGGGGGCTGAAACTGTATGTAAGGAAACAATGATAATGATAGACAAA